GACTTGTGTAATATTTTTATTATTGATTAATCTTTTCTCCTATATGCGTATTTTTTTTAAGGTTATTTTTTTATATGTATCGTTATTTCAAGTTTTTAAAATGTAATGTATAAAGGAGATTTCTTAAATGTAATCCGTAGTTACATAAAAGTCTGCCTTTAGGTGTGAAGTGGTTTGTATGTGTATCTTCGGTTCCATGATTCGCGTCAGTTTCGGGCAGTTATTACGGTATGGCTGATGTTGGCCTAAGTTTAGATGACATAATTAAAAGATCAAAATCCTCAGGAATGAGAAGCAGAAGCAGAGGGTGAGATAATTTCCAGAAATCAATAATTAATTTCACTCTCTTGTAGCTGCTACGTTATCGATTTCTATATAACCTTAAAAGAACGAATCTGCAATTACGAAAAGGAAAATTTTTCGCATAAAATATTGTCTGATAATATTTCTCAAGATTTTCCATTTCATCGACAGCTTTCTTTTTTTTATAAATTCTTCTGTTATTTCGTTGGTCCAGCAGGTTTACTTTATAATTTGCGAATAATGAAAAAATGTATCTTAAGTTGAAAGCTGTTCTAAAATGTAAAGTCATAATTGTCGTAATTGGTTACAAATTTTTGGCTCTTTTCTTCACAGATTCTGTAGATAGTCGTTATTCATATATATATGTTCTCTCAATATTTCGTTTTAAAGATATATATTGCAAATATTATTTATTGTAAAAAACTTACTCCGATTAATCTATGTGTACTAATATTTAATTCTAGCTTGTATAATTAACAATATTTTTTAGTATGATATTGCATCAAGAAAAATTAAACATCACAAGTATGAAATTAATTGTAATTTTTGTCAATTTTTATATAGTGTTCGAAGAGGTATTAACAGGGGTGCACGTGCTAATGGTTCGTTGAGAGGACGAGGTTCGCAAGTTATTACTGATGCAAGATTTAAAATCATACAGAAAAATCGAGAGAAGCTTACAGATGCGAGAGATAAGCTTGCTGAAATTGCCAAACAGAGCGATGCTAGACTAAAGTTGGACAAGATTCGTGCATCGCAGTTTAAAAAGATAGAAGCTCAGATACCTGGAATATCTCAAAAAACAGGTCGTAATGGAAGACTGTCTTTATCAACCAACAAAATGCCTCCAATTATGTCACATACCGTGCCACCAAATATTCCAAATAATTACATGCCACCACCTACTAGAGCAGTGGGTTATAGGCCACTACCACTTGCAGAATCTCATTACATGGGAGATATGAACATGGATTTTATTGATGGTACACGGATATACTCATTCAACACAACTTGTAGTGAATAACATATAGCTCTACTTAATACCATTATGTTTATTAGATTATATGATGGATTCAGCACCTTTAAGAAGAACTGTAAGCAATGAGTATGCTCCTACACCACCCCCTCCACCTCCAGCATTCAGTATTAAGCCAGCAACTTCATACACATGGGTAAAACCAACAAGCAGTAATGTAATAAGAATTGTACCTCCGCGTAAACCTGATGAAGATCGAGAGCGTGAAAGAGCAAGAGATTATAAAGTAATAACACGTTTTCCAATGGTAATTTTACGTTATTAGTAACACTGCGTTACTAATTATTGTTATATGCTGTTTATAATGTTAATTCTTCAATTTTGAATTATTAAACTATTCCTAATTAATGGTTCCAGACAAAACCTGCTTCTCCTTCCTACAAAGAAGATTGGAGTTTCGGCACAAAATCACGGTATATATTTTTAATGTTTTCAACTGTTATTATATATAACATCTGACTTTAATATTATTTTTATAGGACTATATTAGCTGAAGATGCATCAGATTCAAAGTATTACGATTCAAGAAGTCATAGAGACATTGGAGTGAAATCAAGATTAGATTCGGTGCCAAGTAAATCGCGAAATATGGGTGTTGTCCCCCGAACTAAGATAAGTTCCAGTTCGTCATCGCAATCGACCGGTTTTCGAATTGTAGTATCGAATTTACAAGCGAATGTCACTCAAGAAGATATCAAGGTATAATATCAGAAAACGTCAAGTGTATTCAATTTTAGCTTAAAAATATTTATATATTTCAGGAATTATTTGAAGATGTAGGAGAATTGTTAGTGTCCCGATTAGTACGACCAGGTACGGCGGAAGTAATTTATAAGACATTAAAGGATGCTACTAAAGCTGTTGAAACTTATCACAATAGACAATTAGATGGACATCCTATGAAGTGTCTTCTTGTAAATCCACGACCAAAAAATAATCCAACCGGACCAGCTGTTAGGTCTTTTACAGAGTAAGTATTTAAGATTTTGTTATATTTTCTATGATTGTGAATCTTGAATAACGAGTAAATATGTTATTACAGATCCAGAAGAAGCGTTAGTTCAAGTTACGTACAACCAAGCTTAGGAGCAGTACATCGTGCACTGTTCGATGATTCTTAATCAAATATATTGACTTTAATCAATTTTAATATCAATTAAATGCCATATATAGTGGCAAAAGTTTTTATTCTAAATATTTCTAAAAGAGGGGGAGATAAGAAAGAAAACAAGAGATTAAAAAACCGTATAATGCATAGAGGAAGAAGTTCCGAGTGAAATTTGTATTTATATAAAACATCACGTATCTTATTTTTAATTTGTATATTGTAATTGAATGAAATCAGTGTAATAGTAAATGAATTGGACGTTACTGTAAACGGCAAATCCAAGAATGCTTATTGTATATTTAATATAGTCAAATAAACTAACGAGTACTTAGGAATTTTTAATACTTTGTTGTTTCGAAACTGAAGTTTGAAGAAACAAAGTTTCAAAAACTGAAAAAAAAAAGAAAAGAAACTATTGCATTATACTGGTGTTACAGGTTTCAGAAGTATATACTGATTTTTCAGAATATTTTGCGTAA